TCTAGTGTTGAGTTGGAGTCAAACATTTGCTTATCATTACAGATATGAAGACATCTAAAACAGTGTAAAACTTTTCATTAGTGGAAAAGTTTCGATAAATTGAGAATTTAAATACAAAATATCTATATGAGAGTAAATCATTCACACGTCGACTATAAAGCCTTGTTTTCACTATAATTTATCGCAATTCATAATAATCTCTAACTTTTAAAGTAGAAGTCAAAGTAGAGCTAACACTTCCAACACTACTGTTAACTGGAATATACCGGTGCTCTCGGCCTAACTGTCCCAACATTTCCACGCGATATATGCTGACAATTTAAATAAAGTAATATTTACATCATATATTCTGGAAATTTTATTTTTATCTTCAAATATTTGATTATATTTTTTAAGATTCAAAAATTACTGTAAAAGTGAATTCAAGGATAAAACGACAAGAATTTAAATTTTCAAAATTAAAAGTAAATTATCTTTCGATGAGATCTTTTCTAAAATTAATTTTGAGGACCTTTTTGCTGTCGACTCTAACACACCATATATTCTGTAATCATTTTATTTATAATTAAATAGCAATATATAGAGTGCAGAGAATGCCTTCACAAAGGACTGGGAGGACAGGAATTGTCGTCTATTCACTCATGTCTAATGAGTACAGTATTTGTCTTTTGGTCGCAACTCTTATGCATTAAAAGCCATTGAAATAAAGTTTAAAATTCTTGTTTGTCATGAATTTGCCAACAATTATGCAATTGTTTGGATGGCATTGAGTTATAATGTATTCTCTCTCTTATCAAAACTCTGCCAACACTTGTCTCTAGCATATGGCGGGTTAGACGGTGTTTGAGAGACTGATCATTACACCCTTCCATGTGAAATATGTCCAGCATAATTTATTTAATAAAGTTAGGCCATGTAAATGCTAGTTCCAAACAAAATATATTTTATAAAAAGTTATTATTAATAACGGTTGCTAGTTTTTTTGTTAGCCAGCTAATATCTAATAATTCTAATAATTGTAATTATTTTTTATTCTCGGACGAATGCGCCTCATATATGCCCCGAGTATATGCGTTTGACGTCTTGTTTAGCATTGGGAGTCGTCTATTGGAAATCATATGTAAAGTATTGCATGCATTGAATGCATTGCACACACAGTTTGGATCTCAAAGTCAGAGACAGTCTTACAGCGACTCCACTGTCGACTCGATTAGTGCTTATGATTGACATAACAGTCAACACATCCACTGTTCATATGATTGTGTGAAGCATTTGATTGCAATTTAAGTGCAATTCAATACACCATTCAATCCATTATTAGTACTATTTGTGTTCACATATTGTCTTCAATCGGATCCAAGTGTTGCAGAAATGGATGAAAACCAAAGCGAAGGTATGTTTGCATGAAATTCTGGAGGAATACATGCATTGACTGAATGTCTCGTTTGTAAACTTATTTAGAGTGGACTTACAGTCGGTATGTTTGCATCACATGTTCACACATCCGGAGGAATGCATGTATTGACCATTGATTGGGACCTTGTTTAGATTTTATCCACTGCATGCGGCCACTCAGTTGGGAGATGTCGGCACCGTTGAGGCCCTGATCCTGAAGCACAAGTTGTCGGCCAATGAGACGGACTACGACTATCTGACACCCCTTCACATCGCGTCCTTTGCCGGACACCTGTCGTGCGCGCGACTACTCATCCAATTCGGCGCTCACATCAACGCCCGCAGTATCGATGGCGGGACCCCTCTGTGCGGCGCCTCCGCCTCCGGGAACTTCGAGTGCGTCCAACTGCTCATCACGAATGGCGCTCAAGTCAATCCCGTCCACTCCCTGTCCACACCATTGCACGAGGCAGCCTTCGCAGGTACTTATATCATCACCACTGCTCTCTCTCTCTCTCTCACTCTCACTCACTCTCTCTCTCCCTCTCCCGCGCCTCCCATTCCTTACAACTCTCTCATAGTTCCTAAACATTGCATGAAATGATTGCAACACTTCTTGTTTTCAATGAGTTTTAGAAAATATTTATTTTGCAAAGATTTGAATCACAAATGATTTTTTTGTTTTAATTCATTTTAATTTCCAATGATTTGATTATAAGTTTGTTTTGCATTTAAATCTACGAAATGCTATAATGCTGTCAATCACGTGATGAATATTTTTCATTGCATTTACTTTTTATGTCACAATCCATACGATTGTTGTCTGTAATGATTACATAACATAAGTAATCAGTGAGTTATCAGGGACTCAGATTCACAGTTAGTATAGTATAGTATGTGTTTTGTTGGTAAATGAGGTCTCCTTATGAGCCCTTCCCA